ATGGTGACATTAAGTCTCACCATCCTAACCTCCAAGGAACACTCTGGTTTTACTTTCTCTAAGGCAAATTTGTATGTTGTTTTGGTAGTTGATGGGATAGTCAGTACTCTTCTCCAACATCACAACTCAAAAGCATCAATTCGTATTCTGTCATCCTTATTCACTGTCCAAATTTCAGATGCATAGCAAGTAATTGAAAAGATCATGGCCTGAATCAGGCCGACTGTAGTCTTCAAACTGACACTGTTGCTCTTTAGTACTCTGGAGAGAAGAGCCTTGACAGCTCATTTTCCTAATGCAACATATCTTTTGATTTCTTGAGTTCTGTTAGCAAGAGTTGTTGACTGTGGATCCAAGAAAGATGAAATCATTGACAACTTCAACTTTTCTCCATTTATTTTGATGGTGCCTATTGATCGAATGGTGAGGATTTTTGTTTTCTTGATGATGAGATGTAAACCATATTGAAGGCTGTAGTCTTTGATCATCTGCAGCATATATGTCAAGTCCTACCCACTTTCAGAAAGGAAGGTTGTGTCATCTGAAATTAAAGCAGGTTATTGATGAGTATTTCTCTGATCCTGATGCCCCAATTTTCTTCATATAGTCCAGCTTCTCAAATGATCTGTTCAATACGTAGATTGGACAGGTCTAGAGAAAAGATACAACACAGATGTACACCTTCCTTGATTTTAAATCTTTACCTGTTCAGACAACAGCTTCTTGATCTAGGTATTGTTTTTTCATGAGCACAATTAAGTGTTCTGGTGTTGCCCCCCTCAGTTCTTTACGCTGCTGGATTGGCCTATCCTAGTCTCTTGTGTTTGTCCTGATCCTTTGTAACAATAGACGGCTGATTGGCTGGGTAAAGACAATTCAGCTGACTGGTTGGGCAGACAGCTAAGAGAATTTCTGAGGAAGGGAGTCACTGCCTGTTCAGAGGAGTTACATAAAAAGCTTTGACAGTGGGCTTCTGGGGGTTCATGAATCATTTGGAATAAAGTTTAGCACCTTTATTGGTTATGCATGTGATGAGAATGACATGCTCTCCATACTAAATGCGACCTGATACACATATAGAATTAAAATGTGATTACAATATGCATAGTATTTGGAGGCTTCCCCCAATCCCACAAGTTACTCAGCATTTCTGTCTTACATCTCATTAACCATTTCTCCAGTCTTACTTTTTTCATTACTTTCATTGCTTTTAATATATTTTATATCGTTTTTTAATGGTTTAGTAACATACCATTACATTACCTCAATTTATGCAACCATGTTCAATATTTAGATTTGTTGGAACCAGTTGATTTTTAGAAAGGATGCATTGGTGGACATCCTTGTAGCTAAACCTTTGCCTGTATCTGTGATTATTCACCAGGACAAATTTCTAGGAATGGAATTGCTGGATGAAAGGATATGTTCCTTCTTGATATTTTTTTCCAATCTACTCTCTGAGAGTGTGTGCCGATTTTGGCTACCCCCAGGAGAGTGGGAGACAGTCACCTCTTCCTCAATAGCATCACTTGACCTGATATTTACTGTCTTTAAAATCTGGTCAATTTGAGATAAAACAAACAAGCAACAACAAAACAGTATCTATTATTGTTTCATTTTGCATCCTATTGCTAATAAGGGTGAGTGTTTTGGGAGTATTAATGTGGTTCTTTGGGGCTCCTATTTAGTGCTCTCGAAATGATGTGTATTACTTATCTTTCCATTGGTGTATCAGCCTATATTTAAATTGACTCAGAAGAACTCTTCATGGGTTTTATATATTACTTTTCTTGTTTCAGATCTTGTTCTTCATTTGCCATTTACTCTTCCTCCTTTCCACTCTGCCATGTAAAAGCTTCAACATGATGCTTTCAAATCTATCAGTCTTTCTCTCGACAATTTTTGCCTTGGGGCTACATTTGACAGCTCTTTTCCACTCTAAATTAACAGTAGTTATTTTTCTTCTATTATTTTTATGGATTTGTTTTCCACGCTTAAATCTTTAATCTGTCTGCAAGTAATTTTTACATTTGGGATCATTCACTCACTCATTGTTGTGGAATAGGAATCAACTCACAGATGACTCTCCTTCGGGTTTTCAAAGTTGTGAATCACACAGGAGGAGACTACCCATCTTTCTCCCTTGGAGCCACTAATAGATTTGAAGCCTTTGGATTAGCTACGTAAGTCCTTGCATATTACACCTTCCCACGTTTGAGACAGAAGTCTTGATTTCTTTTCTTTGTGAGCTGTGATTCTGGCTTCTCTTTCTTGTTTTAATGGTCTACCAGTTATCCTAATACTATTAAATGACTCACTTTATCATCATTGGTTTGAAGATGACATTTTCCTATAAAAATTTTTATGTAATTTGTTTCTAAATAACTATCATATTCTATCCTGTTGATCTACCTACTGTTTTACATAAATGTCCTCTTTCTATACACTATTATAAAAATTCCATAATCCTATCCCAATAGCACCTTTGAAGATTTATAAGGAAAATATCTCATTCTTGATCTTCAGTAAATAAACACATAATAAGCACATAAAGGAATGCTACTCTGAGGCTCTAGCGTGTCGAGAAGTGTAAGGATGACACAGGATAAGACAGGGTTCAGATCTGTTGTTCATAGGTCTGTTGTTCATGGGTCATACTTGCCTCTCCAGCACCCAACAACAACAACACGATTTTGCCAAATTTTAAAAAGTCTTGCTGGTATTTTGCACTGATACTTACTTTTATAACAACACTTGGTGGCCTAGTGGTAAGAAGCGACACTACAATCCCAAAAGCACATAGAATCTGCTCCATGGAGAAGAATGAGTAATCTCCTCCCGTGTGATTCACTGCCTCTGAAAACCCACTCAACGGTACAAAACAATAACAACAACAATAAAACATTATAATATTGAGTCTTTCACTTCTGTAGCAATTTCTCTTCAATTATTTCTTTTCCTCCAGTAAAGTATTTTTACATTTCCTCTAGTTGAGCTCAACTAGTTAAAAAAAACCCAAAACCAAAATCTGCCTTGAGCATCCTGCTCTTTTGAGAACTATCTATATAGGATCAAATTGACAACAGAAACTCCAAAGATTAGCTAGGAACCTAATGTGGTGAGGTGAGTATATGTTAACAGGAAACTAACAACTCAGAAAAGACAGTGAGAGCAACTGTACAAGTGAGGAAGACAGCAGTGTCACTGAATTGTACACGTAGAAGTCGTTCAATTGCATGCTTTTCTGGGCATATTCTTAAATTTTAAAAAACGTAAGGCCATTTTCCGTGTGTAGGTCATTTACATTTCTTGTGTATTTTCAGGATTTAATGTTATTTATTGTGTCTCCTCACGAAGAATATATGGTAAAGCTACTTGTTTGTTAGAGTTCTTCAGGTGATTCTTTTGGTCTTGACAACAAAGTAATTATTTTTATTTGACCTGTAGATAATGAAAAGTTTACCTTTGCTAGAAGAGAAAATATTCTTTATTTCCATTTCTTTATTTATTGCCTAGGCAAAATACTGATGAGCAAAAGGAAGAAGAGTCTTGACTGTGATGGAAAGGCCTCCCTTTGCTTGCTATTATTATTATACAGAAGACATTTTCATATAATAATTACTTGCTATGCATCAGAAAGCTGGACAATGGCTAGAGATGATAAAGGAGAATTGATGCCTTTGACCTGTGGTGCTGGAGGAGAGTATTGAATATACCATGGACTGCTAGGAGAACAAACAGGTTTGTCCTAGAGAGGGTGAAACAAGGATGTTCCTTGGAGACAAGGATTCTGAAGCTTCATGTGACATACTTTGGACATGTTGCAAGGAGAGATTAGTCCTTGGAGAGGGACATCATGCTTGGGAGGGTGGAGGGACAGCTCAGGAGAGGAAGATCCTCGATGAGATGGATTTATTCAGTGACTGGGGTAGTGGGGGTAGGTGTGTCAGAACAATAAGATTGGCTCAGGATAGAGCAGGGTATAGGGCTGTTGTACATAGGGTCTCTATGAGTCGCAGGCAACTCAACAGCACTTAACAACAACATAGTTTCACAGAGTAGAGGAGTTCTGAATGTCAGGAGTAAGTGTTGGATTTTATTAAATGTCTTAAGGATATCTGCTGAGATATTAAGAGACTTTATTCCATTATGCTATTAATATGGTGAGTTGCATAAACAGATTTTCTAACTTGGGGCCATTTCTCAGTTAATCTTACTTGATCATGTTTTCTTTGGCTCTATAGTCATTTTCTAGGCACTCTGGTGGTCTAGTGGTAAGAAGTTGTGTGGCAATTCCAAAGGCACGTGGTTTGAATCAACCAGCTACTGTGTGGGCAAAGGATGGGCAATCTCCTCCCAAGCAACTTACTGCCTGTGAAAACCCACTGAAGGGTCAGCTATGGGTTGGTTTCGACTCAACGGTACACAAAAACAACATAGTCATCTTCTCAGATTTCATGTGCATATCTCTCACAGCACTAGTAACTTTTCAAGAAGTCTTACTCTTCTGACCCCACATGTGAAATCTCAGGCAGCATCAGCCTTATGTCCACCACATCTGGCATGGCAGCTGCTGCCTGTCTGTCGTCAGCACCAGCCTATCTTCTACAACCAGAACTAAGGCTACCCACCCTGTGCTTCCCTCTCCACTCTGGGGCAAAGAGAATAAGCAAATGCCTCTTGTCAATATTGGTGGGCTCTCTCTGACCTGTGCAGTCTCTGAATTACCCCTTGACTAACCAGAATAGAAACAGAACTGAGTTGGTGGGGTCTACTTGCTCTGAGCCCCTGGCTAAGAACTCCCCTTTGAGTTGTCTTCCACGTCACTGCTTTGAGGTTGTGTATATCCAGCCATTTTGCACACGGGCACCACAAAGCGAAGATCACTCAAGGCTTCTATTGAATGCAGGGGCAGAGCCAGGTAGGAAGATTCAAGACGAGAAGAGAAAGCATCCTGACCAGGTTCAATGGCCCTGCATGTCCGTTGCCTTGATGCCTACCTGGGGCCTTGAGTTCCGCATCGATGAAGGTGAGCAGTTCCTGGCAGATGCTGCAGTAGGGAACAGGCCAGGTCAGGAACCGGTGGTAGGTTCTGGCTGCCTTCAGAAGGAGATCTGAGTCGGGTGGGAAGTGTGGCGTCTAGGGTGGGAAGAGACAGCAAGCAGAGAGGTCTGGATGACAGAAAACTCACTGATAGGCTAGAGCAGGTTGGTTCCCTTTCTGAAATGTTCTGCAAAGGACACACATTTCCTAGTAGCAGAGTGCCCCAGGACAAGCCAGGAGGAACTGGAAGTTACCAAAGACTGAGCTGTCAGGATGGCACCCAGGATGTCTCTATATTGACAACTTTACATTACTTCCTCCACACAATACTGTCATTCACTTTGGATGGTCTTCAGTGCTTAGACTATGCTTATTTAAACATCCTTGCTAGAAGCAAATGCTTACTCTTTGAGACTGAACTGATCCTATGTTCACAGACTCATCTGGTGAATATAAGGGGCAATCTCCTCCTGTGCAATTAACTGCCTCTGAAAACCCTGCAGTAGGCCAGCTATGGGTTGGTTCCAACTCTATAGTACACATCAACAACAATATAGGCCAAACCCACCACTGGAGTAAAAAATGAGGAGGACATGGCATTTCCCCATACCATCTTTCTCATGGCTCGTGAACAAGCTGTGGCAGCAGCTCCAGTGAGGGAGACCAGTTAAGCTTGGCACAAAGGCATCAAGTAGAGTTACTAAGGTCTCTCTCCTAGATGACCATTCGGAAGTTTTCCTGACATTCTGTGAGTTGAAACTCATCTCAGATCTCAACACTTCATAGTTATTCTCTCTGTGTGATTATCCTCAGAGGCGTGAGGGCTGTCTCCCCCATACTGATGACCCCCTTTCTTCCCTGCCTTCCTGGGCCTGTCCCACCCTGGAACTTACGCAGAGAACTGTGGAGTAGAAGAGCAGGGCCAGAGGGGCCAGGAGGTCGTAGGTGCCCTTCTCCTGGACCTGTGGAGAGGTGAATAGGGAAAGGTGAGGATCACTGAGGGAGCACTGTCTTATCTTATTCTTTCCTCAGTTTTGCTTTGTTTTTGAAGTATAAAGAAAACATCTCCACAAAACAAAACAAATTGAAAAATAGCAGTAGAAAGGAAAGAAAAAGATTCTTCATATATATCCCCCATTCAATCCCAATTGTAGTTCATATTTTCGGTTTACTTTTCCTTATACCATTTTTTTCTATGCATTTTCTTCTGTAAATTTTAATAATTTTGTCAATATGTGTACTCTTGATATCTTTTACCTATAATATTCTAAGTGAATTTCTGTTTTACTAAATGGTCTCTAAGACTATTTTCCTCCTTTCCACTTTTCTTCTATTTTTTGTTGTTTAGAAAGTACATGTCTTTTTTTCTTTTACGGATTCTGTTTTGCATACAAGGATCCTATATACATCCATCTAGATTTCCTTTGATGTTTTATTTTTTTAAAATGTAAATTTTTACTCCATCTAGCATTTCATCAGTTTTTTCCAAACTTAATCAATTTCTCCTAAATAATCTAAAAAAAATTGTGATGCAATTTCCATTATAAAATAAACTTACTTCATATCCTTGGATAACAACCATCATTTTTATTGGTTGCATAATCTTCCATGTGCCAGATCTCTGCAATTTTATTTTTGTTTTTATTTTGACATTTGAAATAATTGCCTTGCTATTTTATGTGATAGTGCGATGAATATTTTTGTGCACATTCATTTTTCTTATAGCTTGGATTATTATCACTCATGAAGTAGAATTAACTGATCAAAGGTTAGAAAGAGAGACATGACAACATTTCATCATTTTTAATATCTTGAATGCATGAAAGTACCAGTTTCACCACACCCACTGCCGGATTGGCTATTACACTTTTTGCTAATTTGATAGGCAAACACTATCCCTTTATGGCCTTGATTTGCTTTTGTTTTCTTATAACCTAGACCAACCCTTGCTTGTTAAGGTGTTTATGAGTTCTACCTGTTCTGTTATGAATTACTTCTTAGGAAAGCATTTAGATAGAGCATACCACACCAGCTACACACAAGCACGCACATTTTAGAAGCTAGTGTGACAGTGCACAAGGTCTTTCAGCCCATTCTGATGTTTATGGGTGCTGAAGGCACAGAGAAAGGCCTTCCTTCTCTGCTGTGTTTGGTATCCTCAGCAAGTCTCAATGTAGACCTCAACTTCTCCTGCCCTGAAGAGAAGATGTGTCCTCCATATCGTCTACAAAGTCCATTCTACAAAGTCTTCCTGTCTAAGATGAAACCATGGGCCTCTTCCCAGGTACAGCAAATAAAAGTGATGAAAAGACTCAAGGATATAATTATCAAAAAAGACTAAATGGATTGCACCCTCCACTAGGCAGTGCCTAGTCACCACTCTAAATGGCTCTGACTGGGATCACAATAGAAGGTCCTAGACAGAGAGTGGGAGAAGAAAAAAAAAAGTAGAACAAAATTCAAAATCATTACTAGTCTGATAAAGACTGGTGGAATGCCCAAGACTATAGTCCTTGGACATCTTTCAAACCTGGAACTGAACCCACTAGCCTTTCTGCCTAATACTAAATAGATCTATAAAGGGAACAGTAATGTCTGTGAGAAAATAGTCCTCAGGATATATCAGCCATAGGAGACCAAAGGGCAGCATTTCCCCCAAAACAGTGTTTCAAAGACAAGATGAGGAAGGAAAGTTGAGTGATTGGAAACCAGGAACCCAGAGAGGAAGTGGGGAGAGTGATGTTTCATTGACGGGACTGCGACTAATTTCATGAAACAAAATATGTATTGGTTATTGAATCGGAGACTCATTTGATTTGCAAACTCTCACCCAAATCATAATAAAATTTTAAGAAGGAAAAAACCCCTTCCCTATGGATCCTTTCTCTGTGGTCTGTAAGTGAAGCACCGCAGAGGTGCCCAAGCTTCTCTGTGCTGGTTTGCCTGCGTCCAGGGAATAATAAGCCCAAACCAAACTTGCTGTCAAGTCAGTTCCATTCAGACTCCTGGTGACTCCATGCGTCACAGACCAGAATCACCCACAGGGTATTCTCGGCTGTCATCTTTACAAAAAAACACATCCCCAGGCCTTTCTTTCATGGCTTTACCAGGTTGGCTTGAACCCTCAACCCTTAAGTTAAAAATCAAGAGCAATAACAGCATCAGCTAACTGGCGGTGCTCACACTATCATTTAACCTTGATAAAGGCAGATGTTTTCTCATTTAAATTGTATCTTTAAAATGAACAAGGGGACAATGGGAAGGAAGCTTGAATGAGAACTTTGTGAGGGACAGAATCCTCTTGGGATTTACTGTCTATTTCTTGAACCATTAAAGGAGACCTCGGCTTACTTTCCTGCTCTTTCCCATCAGTTTTCTCTTTCATGTCTTTGTTTTTAAGGATCATTTTGGAGAAAGGTGTTACATCACGTTCCCTCCGTCCCTTCTGATCTATATATACTTTGATCTGTAAGCAACGGCTGCCCTCAGCAGCAGTTTACACATGAGGCCCTGGCTTCTGTGTTCTTCCTGCACCGCAGAAGGCCACTCCTCATCCTCGGTCACCACCCACCATGGAGTCACCCTCCACTCACAGTGCCGAAGCAGAGCAGAGCTGTGCTCCACAGTATCCTCAGTTGCTGGATTTTTAAGAAGTAAGTTGCCAGACTGTGCATGGGCTTGAACTTCCAACATTTTGGATAGCACTCTAGTGCACTGACCATTTGCACTATCCAGGACACCACCTATTTCTGGTTTTGCTGAAACAGAAAACTCACAGCTTCTCACTGCCTTTGCCAAAGTGGCTGGGTGCTCCACCCTATCACTCGTTGGGGTCTGTTTCTCAATTCTGTGAGGCAGATCTCTGACCCACACTCACCTCTCGGGTTTTCTTCAGGATCTGCTCAAGGAGGATAAGGAAGTGGCCCGGGTCCCTGCTGACCAGCTCCTGAAGGCTCCAACAGTTTAGACACAGTCCAGCTGGAAGGGAGAGAGGCAAGTGGTCAGTCTCTTTCAGCAACCTTCAGACTGTTGCTGTTATGGGCTGTCAAGTCAACTACAACTCCTAGCAACTCTATGAATGACAAGTGAGAACTCGACCCCATCTCACTGTCTCAGATCCACTCGAGCCCACTGTTAGAGTCACTGTGCCAATCCATCTCATGGAAGGTCTTCTCTTTCTCTGATACCCAACCTTCCCAGTATAATGTTGTTTTACAAGTGGGAAAGAAACAGGAGGTATCACTCAGGCTGTCCTGGAACACTCCTTCCTAAAGCAAGAAGGTCTGGGGAAATCCTGGGCCAGCCTCTAACCCTGCCACATCCCATCAAGACTTAGAAATATGTTTCCTGCATATATAGGCAGGGGATGGAGAGAGGGAGAGAGACAGGCCTGGATATGCTTGGAATCCCCTTCGGAGCCAATGGCCCTGACTTGACTTTCCTCCCCATGTCCCTGGATAGCACAGTTCTCTTCCAGCTTCACTCACCCCCTGTGGAGAGAGCAGGGAAGGAAGGAGAGGCACAGGAGCCAGGAATAAGAAGGGAGCCATGTGTGTCTGCCCGGACACAAGGTCTGGGACTGTCCTGGGACGTCCCATGACTGCCTGGCAGTGGAGCTCAGGAAGGGGAAGCTACTTTCATTTAAATTCTAAAAGCTGGATGGGCACTTTGGCACTTCCCTAGGCTTTCTTATGTTGGCAATTTCTATTTCCCCCACAATCAGTATGGGTAATTCCCTACTAATTAAAGGATGCTCAGGGAGGAGTGTGTGTGTGTGTGTGCGCATGCGTGTGTGTGTGTGTCTGAGAATGTGTGTGTGGGAAGTGACTCAGGAGTGGAAGTGAAATGACCTTGAATTTCATGGTCTCAGAGGCCACTAGCAATATGTTCAAGCACTGATAGGATTTTACAAAATTTGCAAAAGTCAGCTATTTTTCATTCCTTTACTCGGTGATCACCGGAGTTTAATCGGAACTGACTCACAGCCGCCCGTCCAGTGAGTTTTCAGAAGCTCTAAGTCGCATGGAAGGAGAGTGCTCTCTTCCATGGACCCTCTGGGGGATTCGAACCACAGAAAGGTGCTGTCTTTGGCTTAGTGGTGCAACTCCCCTATAGACTACGCCACACAGCTCCCTTTACTTAGTGTTGGTACCTCGAAATCTCTAAAACTGAAAATGAATTGCCACTGTGTCCAAGACCCCAACTGTCCCAGAGTAGAACTGGTCTCCACCGGGTTCTCAGTGGCTGAGGTTCTGCAAGCAGACTGCCAGGCCTTTCTTCTTAGTCTTCCATAGTCCAGAGGCTCCACTGAAACCTGGTCATCACAGCAACACACAAGCCTCCACTGACAGATGGGTGATGGGGGTTGGGGGGAGCTGTACTTGAGATGCATCGGTAAGGAATCTAATCTGGACCTCCTGCATGAAGGCAAGAATTCTACCATGAAACTATCCCCATCCCTTCTACTAACTTGGGCTTATTAAGGCAAGACTGGGCAGAAGGTGAGTAGGAAGAAAGCTCTTATTTACTGACCACCTTACCATGTGCTAGGTAGTGTTGTTGTTACACATCATCAAACTGACTGCCCCATGATGCTCCCTAGGCTGTGCTCTCTACAGAAGTGGATCTCCAGGCTCCTCTGGGTCATAAAAACACCCCTCAGCCCCCAGGAACCCACCTGACCAGGAAGTAGAACGTCGGCTGAGGCTGAGCCCGTGCAAGCAGCGCTCCAGGGCATGCTGGATGCGGTCCTCCGTGCACGTCGTGGCCCCTGGCTGCATCCTGAGTCATCGCCTGCACAGGAGACAGACAGCAGTCAGCTGGCAGAGTCCCCTTCCCCTGAGCACCAGGCAGGACAGCAGGATGGTGGCACTGTCAGCTGACATCCACCACCCACTGTCACCAATTCTGCTCCATCTTGGTGTTGTAGGTGAACCTTGGGTCCTCCCTGATGCTTCAAGAACATCTGAGCTGCAGGACGTAGCGTGGGATTCCAGGAAGCAAAGGACCAGGGTTGAAATTGGACAGTGACAGGGGCCCACTTGCTCCCCAGAGCAGCAGTGAGCGCTACAAAGAGCCCTAGAGTGAAAAAGGTGGTCAGACATTGGTGGGTTGGGCAGAAAATCCCCTATGGGAGATTAGAAACATTTGGGGGATTTTTCTGAATATTCCAGGCATTCTACCCCCAAAACCTCAGTGGTGGGCTGGGAGCTCTACTCCTGATGGAAAAAACCCCAGGATTTCCTCAATGAGCCCATAATCCAGGAGTCGAGGCTCTCACTCCATGTCTACCCTCTCCACTGCATAGACCCACTGCACTAGGTCACAGGCACCTGCTTCTCTTCTGCCCAGCCCTCCATATTCATTCCTTTCCTTTACCCTCACCTGAGGCTTGACAAATTATGTTAAAGATCCTGTCCGGGCCCTGTTGCCTGCCTGCTAGGGAGGAACCAGCATGTTTAGCTCAGGCTGGAAGTCCACCAAGCAAGGCGCAGAAGGAGCTGTCACATCACAGAGGGAGCCGTGCTGAATTCTGGGAGCCTCCAAGCAGTGCAGCCAGAGCGCTCCTTGGAGCCAAGGATGACAAGGCTTCGTCTCGCATACTTTGAGCATGTTGCTAAAAGAGGTTATTCCTTGGAAAGGAACATGCTTGGAAAGATAGAAAGATTGCAAAGGAAAGGAAGGTCCTCAGCCAGGTGGATTGACACAGTTACTGTAGCAATGGGCTCAAATGTATCAGAGACAATGAGGATGGCACAGTATAGGACAGGGTTCAGATCTGTCATTCATAGGGTTGCTGTGAGTAGTACTTGACTTAACAGCACCTAACAACAACAACAACTAGCAGGGCCAGCTTAGCGTCTTTGTCCTGTGTGAGGGCTCCCTGGGTATTGCCAGAAGTCATATCATGCTAAACAGTTGAGCCCAGTGATGAAGCCTGACCTCTGGCATCTAGTGGACTGAGACTCAAACATCAACTGTAACATTTATTTTGCCCATGTGACTTTGGGTAAATTCTTTAACCTTCCCCAAACTCAGTTTACATATCTGTAAAATGGGGACAATGATGGCAACTCACTTCATTGTGCACTGGGAAAATTAAACATCCTGGTGGGTGCACTGAGCTTTCAGCACATGCCAACTACCATACATCACCCCAAATGCTATAACCACCCCTTCCAGATAGGCCCCATCTCTGGTCAGGCAGGTCAGCTTAGGTCAGGATTTGTAGACTGGCCAGGAGATCAGAAGCAGAAGCCAGAGCTGAGAGCTGACCATGCAAATGACATGCAAAGAGAGATAACATCCTAACCCAGACCATCTGCATGGCGTGAAGACGACATTTAGGCAAACTTTTCCACTTCCCCAGACTGGGGAAAAACTTGACAGAGGGAAAACAACCCTTTGTAAGCTGTCTGATATGATTGCATGCATTGTAAGGATGCACTCATTCATTCCTCAAACATTACTGTTGCCAGCTTTGGGGATACAGCCATGAATAGAGCAGATGTGATCCTTGCACAGCTTCGGCTGTTGTTGCTGTTGTGTACCATCAAGTCAGAGCTGACCCATAGCTGACATTCTGGCAGGTTTTCATAGGCAGTTAATCATATGGAAGGAGATTGCCCATCATTTTTTTTGCAGAGCAGCTGGTGGATTCAAACTGCATGCCTTTGGGACTGCACTGCAGTTTCTTACCACTAGGTCACCAGAACTCCCTATAGTTATGGTTAAGTTCCTACAAGCAGGACGATGAACTCATAGCCACCCTAAAAACAATAGGACAAAGAAGTCTGCTGAATCCTGTGCCATCCTGACCATTTCTGCTGTGCTCAAAGCCCTTGTTGCAGTCGCTATGTCACTTCGTCTAAATGACGTCTTCCTCTCTTTCACTGACCCTCTACATTCCCATGTGTCCCTTTCCAGGGACCAGACCTCCCTGATCATGTGGCTGAAGGAGGTAGATTAAGTCTCATCATCCTTGCTTCTAAGGAGCATTCTGCACGCACTTCTTCTAAGACAAGTGTGTGTTTGTTTTTAAAACAACCATTAAAGAGTGAGAGACAGATACTAACACACAAAGAAAGAAAATCAAAGGAGAAACGGAAGCTGTGAAGAATGGCGGGGTGTCTGGGAAGGTGGGCACCCAGGAGGGTGGGCACCCTAGGTTGATGGGAGGTCCAATATAGTCTCTTGGAAGAAAAGCCCTGTAAGCTGGAGGAGGAAGCCAGGAGAAAAGCTTGGGGAACAACATTGTAGATGAAGAAGACAGCGTATGCTAAACTCTGGGCACGACCGTCAGCTTGTTGATTCTGGACACAGGGCGAGGTTACTGGTCTAAAGCACAGACTATCAAGTCCTGAAGGGCCCACACATTCCCCACTGTTCTCTAACTGTTGAGCTGGTGAAACAATACCTAAAAAAAGACTGTATTAGTTGCATAGGGCTGCTGCAACAAAATATTCTAACTAGGATAACTAGGAATAGAAATGGGTTGTCTCACAGTTGTGGAAGCTAAGCGCACAGATACAGGTCTCGGGAAGGACATGCCCTCTCTTTGTGTTGGCTCTAGATGAAGACGCTTCTTTGTCTCTTCCAGCTGCTGGTAGCCCCAGATATTCCTTGGTTTGCAGATGCAGCTTCACATGGTCAGTCATTCTCCATCTGGCTCTCTTCTCTTTTATAGCACATCACTCAAAAGAGCTTAGGTCTTACTCTACTATGGTATGCCTCTACAAAAATGTGGCTTCTAGCTAATTTATAGGACAACATTTTCAAAGATCTTACTTCCAGACAAGGTCATACTCATGCATTATTGCTCTTAGGTTCTCTCAAGTCAATCACGACTCGTAGCAGCCCTGTGAACACCACATCTGCCCCTGGCCAGATCCTGCACCATCCTCATGAGCTCTGCCATGCTTCAGCCCATTGTCACCGTCACTGTGTCAACCCCTCTCACTGAAGCCCTCCCTCCACCTTTCCCAGTACGATGACTTCTTCCAAGGATTAGCCTCTCCTGACAACATCCCTAAAGCACGTGAGATGAAGTCTCATTATCCTTGACTTTAAGAAGCACCTTGCTTGTACTTCCCCCAGGACAGATTTTGTTCTTTTGGCAGCCCCATGGTCTATTCAATATTTTTCATCAGCACCACAGTTCACAGGTTCCTGTTGTTGTTAGGTGCCATTGGAACTACGACAACTCATAGAGTGACCCTACAAACAACATACCTGATCCCTGCCCTCAATGGGATAGATTGACACAGTGACTCTAACAGTGGGTTCACGGGTGGCTGAGAGGATGAGGATGTTCAGACCTGTCACTCAGAGGATAGTTAAGATTTGTAGTTGTTCCAGCGACACCTAACAACAACCCAATCAAGTTTAGATCCACCACCCTAAAATACCCCCTGCCATCGGGTTGACTCTGACTTACAGTAGTAGTAATCCTCCATCTGATTCCCAACCCTCTTACAGAGGAACACGCAAAGCACCACACCAATGGCCGAAGAGAGACAGCTGGAAAATGGCCATGTGAAGATAGATTTTGGGACTTTTGGACTTCAGAACTATTAGAGGATGAATTTGTGCTGTTTTAAGCCATCAGGTAACAGGGGTAGATGTGTCGGAAAGAGTGAGACTAGCTCAGGATAGGGCAGGATTCAGAACTATTGTACATTGGGTTGCAGGTGACTCGGTGCCACATAACAACAACAAGCTATCAGATTTGTGGTAATTTTTCATGAAAAGCCTGCTGTTGCTATGTGCTATTGATTTGGAGCTGATCCATCGCTGAGCCCTCCAGCAAATTTTCAGTCTATAAATTGTACAGAGGGCTGCTTACCTTGCCCCCCAAAGCAGCTGATGGATTTGAACCACCTGACTTCACAGAGGCAGAGTAAGTCCTTACACTCCAGGCCACCAGAGCTCCCAGAGGAAAAACTATAGACCTTCTGTCCTTGAAGATTGACTTCTGCTCCCACAGCTTGTGGGCAAGTTGTTCAAGGGAGTTCAGCAGCCGAGAACCACAATTCCTTCCTGTTATGTGACCCAGAGAGGGTCAGGAACATTTTGAAGGCAACCAAGGGGCGGAGGCAGGGCTGGGGAGAACTAACACTAATACAGACAGAGTATCGTGTGAGGCCATTCACGTATTCTCACATTGCAGCCGAGGCCCAAACCTAAAGACCCACGGTCCTCCAGTGGATTCTGATTCATGCACCCTCCACCAGGCTTCTGAGGTGGTGAATCTTCACACGAGGAACTATCTCCACTTTCTCCCATGGAGCTGCTGGTGGATTTGAACTGTCAACCTTTTAGTGACCAACCCAACACAGAGGTGCTAAATGTCCTCCATTCTCAAGTTCCCCTTACCCGAGCGAGCTGCTAGGGACAACCACTCTAGTGGGCTTGCTGTAGGACAGCAATTTAGAACTGGCACAACAAGGTCCCTCCCAACCCCAGCAATGTGAGAAGACTCATCCTGCTGTGGGTTCAGGCCTAACCTGAGAAAATGCTGTCATATGGTGAGAGCTCGTCTTTCTCTCCCCAAAGCAGAGTGCTGCTGTTGTAGTCAAGCTGATCCTCAACTCATTGTGAACCTTCAAACAACAGAATGAATGGATTGCTTCGTTGGTCTTGTGAGGTACCACCAAGTCAACTACAGTTCACAGAGACCCTATGAATAAAGGATCTCAACCTTACCCTGTGCTGTGCCACTGGCTCCTGTTCTGTTCCTATGGTCAGTAACAGATTGGACAGTAGTGACTCAAAGAAATAGATCAGCTGAAACCCATTC